TTTTACAAAATATTTATTAATATTTTTGTGTATACAAATCGAAACGATTTTTGCTGAAAAGTAAAGAACAGATCCTATTTCAATACTGTTTGTAAAGTTTATTACTAGAGCGGTATATGCTTTCATACTGGGTACCTTCCAGTCGAGCATGCGTGCCTTACTTGGTTTCTATACCAACTTTGGGGTGTTGCTTAAAGTGCCGTAAAGTTTAATTGAAAAACAAGCTGCAAACAAGCTGCAGCAGCAGCAGCGGCAGTAGCGGCAGCGAGAGCTAACTGCGTCAACAATGCCAAGACCGAATCAACTTGGCCAAGCATCAGGCAGCCGCCCGCCCACTCAGCAGCCCCGCCCGCGTAGAGCATAATCAGCTCAAACGTCAGGCAAGGCATCAACCTAGTTGATGCTGGAGCTGGCTTCTCTGTCGTTGCCGTTGCCGCTGCCGCTGCCGCTGCTGGCGTTGACTGCTTTAGTGACGCAATCGCCATCAAAAAAAGTTTTTTTATTATGCATTTTTCGGCTTTTTGTCACGCTGCAGACACAAAACGTCAGCCGCAATGAGGATGAACGACCGAAACGTCAACAAGCTGTCTGCTATGCAATCTCGGCTCTCGCTCACGCCGCAACCCTCTCTCTCCTCCCTCTCAATGCCTCTCGCGGTTAGTTGGGTTTGTTGTTGTATTCGAGCTGCTTTTTATGCTTTAAGTTCGTAAATTATTCAGCATCGACTTTGCCCGACTACCATCTGCCGTTTGCCGTCTGTTTGCTGCATTTTGCGGCTCATCATTTATCGATGAATTTTTGTTGCTGCAATCCTCTAACCAGTTTTCGATGTGCTGCAACAGAGATATATAAAGATAGAGAGAGGGAGTAGGAGAGAGGGAGGTCTACAGTGAGGCGGTCACAGTTTGCATCGGTGGTTAATTAGTTTTTGTGACCTGCCACAAGCTCAGCGAAGCGTTGCTCCACTGATTGACTTGATTGGCCAAAATATCTCCTCTGCACAGCACAGCACACACACATAGACACACACACACACACTTCGCGCTACTTACTCTACATCTCTTGCTCTCTCTTTCGCTCTTCTCTCACACCTCTCTTGCCGCAATGTAATTGCAATTATGCTGAGTTCATTAGGCCGGCCAAAAGCAAAGGCGGGGCAGCCAAGTGGGAGGCAAAAGCTGCAGGCTTTGCTTGACACGCCATTAAAGCAGTTGCCAGTTTTAAAATCATTTCTTAATTATCTCCCTATCGATTTACAATTTGACATCCAGTTTTTAAGTTCATTAAGCCGTAGTAGCCTGAGTGGTTCCCTAATCTGATTTATATATATAATTCACTTAAATATGTATTATAAGTATATAAATATATTGGTTGGGCAACAATTTAATGAACAGCTTCACTGCCATACGAGATGCCATGCATGCTTATGCATGTCTATCATTTGCTAGGTAGACAAATGTTATTCAATTGTTGCCCATGACTGCTGAGCATCCCTCAGCAAAATTGTCTATGTGCAATTAACTAACTAATTAATATCACTGCTTGATTGTATGAGAATATTAAGTGTCGAGAGGCTTTTACTATGAATAGATTTATTATGATGAAAATGTCTGTATCAAGTCAGGTAGACCAAGAGTCAATTGAAGAAAAACAATTTCAGTCTAGCTTTATTCGTGGCATCAATTAGTCAATTAGTCAAACAGTCAACCAGTCAATCATCGGCGTGAACAATTTACTTCGAATGCAATAACCCAGCTAATATTAATGATTATATCAACATGGGCTCCATGCAATGTCTAAGCACTTTATTTAATCACTTTCGCAAGCTATTGTTTCATGGTGTTGGCACACACACACATACACATATACATTCGCGCACACACACACAAGCACATGGTTTCTTGTATTGTCATAAAGGCTAATGCTTCATGCTTCAAAAAGTATGTGCTTTCATTTTAGTGGCCTAGAGGTCTCACTCTCCCCCCCATTTTTCTCTCTCTCTCTTTCTCTCTCTTACTCTCTTACTTTCTTTGTGTGTGTTTATATTCCTTAAACGAATTTGTGTTTTGCTTTCTGTTTTTGTCTTTGCCACACACAAACACACACACACATACACAAACACACCAACCCACACACACACACAGACACAGACAGAGAGTACGGATGAGGCGATCAGCGAGCCGCCCATCAAATTGGTGCATGTGCTGAATCCTGGAGAGCGAGAGTATCTCTCGCCCAATTTGATTGGCGTGCAGAATATAGCGATGTCCTTTCTGCCCCTCTCGATGAACTTTGTGAACATCATCGATGCCTTTCGCGAAATTGTGAATGGTGTGCGCTACGAAATACTGTTGAATGCAGTGGACACAAAGGCCAACGATGCGGATACGATCTGTCGCCTGGTGATACTGGAGAAGCCCTGGCTGACCACCCAGTGGGGCGACAAGCACCGGGAGCTGGTCAACACCAATTGCAGCGATGTGGCCGACAATGCTCTGACCTTCGAGGCCGATCGCGAGGAGCGGGCCAAGGCGCTCAACGAGAAATATGTGAGTAACACGATCTTCAATGGCGGGCGACGCAACGAGTTGAGTGACAGCGATATGGCTCACCTGGAAGCCCAAATATTGACAAACGAAAACAAGCGACGGGTTAGCAGCAGCAGCAGCGGCAGGGGCAGTGGCAGCTCAATAAGCACCACCAGCAGCAGCAGCAGCCCCACAGCTCTGGCCCCACAAGCGGTGCTCACTAATGAGCCCGCAATGTCAATTAACGTTAACGAGGCAGCCACAGCTGACGTTGAGAGCGACACAGGGGATGCCAACACATCTACGGCCGCGTCTATTGCCATGACCACGCCCACAGCGGAGCTCAATGAAAACGAGAAGCGTTGGCTGGACGATTTTCTATCAGTGGGTGCGTTTAACTTTGAGAAAACTATCGAGGAGCAGCGCGCCGAGTTGAAACAGCAGCAGCAGCAACAACAACAACAACAACAACAACAAGAGACGACACAGGTGGAGGAGCAGCAACTGGAACCAGTGGAAGAGCAGCAACGGGAGCAGACAGAGCAGCAGCTGGAGCAGGATGCACAGCAGTCTTCATTATCTTAACCATCATGAGATATGAATATTATTATCATACACCCTCACACACACCCACACACACACGCACACACAATCACCCAGTTACACCCGCCCCCTGTTCTATATACTCCCATTTCTAAAAATACTCGTAAAGTAAATGCAAACAATAAAAAGAAAATGTTATTTAATTAAATTTATTTAAGCTGCTCGTTTTTCTCACCTGTGCACCACAAACAGACACACACACACACAAACAACACAAAGACTCACACACACGCACACACACACACACACGCACACACCCACCCACCTGTGCGTTGTTGGCATAGCCCAACCAAGCGAGAAGCCCTCTCTGCGACTGGCCCGCCCCCAGCATCTGTGCGCCCCCCCACCACTTATTTCAGCTTAATAATCAAATGAGTTTTCGCTTTCAAATTACGGCCGCAATCTGTTTAACCCGGCCCGTGTCGCATTCGCCCCATCCACAACTGTCTATATAAATATGTACATGTATATATGTATGTGTGTGTGTACATATCTTAGAAAGCTCACCTCAAGTGCCGCACTCTATGTTTGTAAGTGTGTGTGTGCTTGTGTGTGTGTGTGTGCCCCTTAGCAGCATACACTGCTCTGTGGAAAAGTGCTCTCATTATCCTTGATGCTCTACTTTTAACACCCAACTGACGCAGCGGCCATTGCACAGTGTCTGCGTCAAATAGAAGACGGAATTCAAATAGCACCCGGTGGGGATTTGTCTTTATGCGAGAACTCGAATATTATATACACTAGCAATTTGGAATATATTTAACTAAGTATGCGCCTAGCTCATTTTGTGCGGTTTATTAAGCTTCTTTACTCCTACTCAAGTGGGGTATACTTGGCGGGAAGATAGACGAATATTAATTTCTATGTAATGCTTTCATCTGCAATTCTGTCTGTACTCTTCGTAGATATAAAAGGACCTAAAAAAAGGAGAATGTTTGCTATCAAAATATGATTTAGTAGAGCTTACACATTAATTATAAATACTCTAGCTCTTACAGTACTCGAGCTCTGCTCAAATAAACGTGCGAGTATCCTGCTTAACCCACTTTTCAACGAGTTCAGCGAATCATCACTGGTGCATGAATCATCATCGCGTATACATAGTATATGGATGGATGAATCTAATAAATCATCACATCGGTAATCGGGCCAGGCAACACTGCAAACTGAATCGAATTTGACATTTAATCTGCGGGATTAGCGAATTCAATCGAGTGTCGAGCACTCGGTTCTCCACATATTCCGAATGCATTTCACGCTCCATTTAGTGCGCATACAAAAACTGTCGAGTGGCCGGGACATAATTTACGTTTTAATAGTTATTGAACAACAGAATGTGACAAGGACAACGGGAACGCAAGGACGGAGCTCTATAGAAGCACTGGACTGACCCAAAACAAGTAAAAATTGTGCAATCCATAGCACTACCGACTGCTTGATGCTTGCTCACAATTCTATATCACTTCCAATTGAGTATATATCTCTTTTTCCCGCTCACCATATTGTCAAGTCGGAAAAGTTTCTGGGAGGCAAGTGCGTAAATGATTATATAAAGAAGCAGGCGTCAGTTTAATATATTCTTTTTCACTTCGTGAGCGAGTATGAAAACCCTCTGTACTCTACTCTCTACATGAGCGAGCATAAAGACCCAACTGCATTCGTCTTACTCTGAAATGAAATATTTTGGAAACCCATATGTATATGCTCATTAACGAATGCTGAGCAAGTATTATATACGAATAGCCTTCAGCATTAAAACGAATATCCTCATTATGCCTTTCACTTCTCCGAGAAGTATTGAAAAAGTCTATATACTCATATGAAAATTTTTTATAACCTTCACCCCACACCTGATGAAGTGGAATAGCCTTAATATATTCCTATTGCTTTAAGCTAAATTTTAGAAGAGAATTCATATATTAACTCATTAAGCGAGTATTAAATTCCGAAATAGTCTAGCATTAAAATGAAGAGACTCCTCTCAGAACCACTTGAGAGCAATGTATGCTGCTCTGTGAAATATTCTAGAGGGTAATATGTGTATATCCCTTTGCACATCGTGAGCGAGCATATAAACGTAAAGACTCCCCACTCTTTGGAGCAGGCAAGATCAATATATTTTACACATTATGTCTTTCGCTACGCAAACGAGTATTGAAAGAGTCAATATACTCCCGAGCGCATCGAGAGCGAGTATAAAACAGGCAACTTAATGAATTCATGTCGCGACAGGTCAAACGGAAACAGAAACCTGCGCTGTTGCTGCTATTGCCTTTCCCGTTGCCGTTGCCGTTGCCGTTGCCATTGCCATTGCCGTTGTTCCAGCTCCACCGCCGCCATGTTCGAACCCCGATTGGGCCTGGCAATCTTTTTAATTATACACACGTCGTTGCCATTACATTTCATTTCGTATTGTTGTCATTGCATTCACCAACTAGCTGCTCCACACCTGCAATGGCTGCTGTTACAGGTCCTGCTCCAGCTGCTACGTCAATTACACACACCCACCCACTCACACACACACACACAAGCACTCATATATATATGTAGAGGTAATGTACGTTTGGTAGGCATCGCCCGACACCTGCTCCTCCTGCTAGCTGCTTCAACAATAATCTAGCCCTGCCAGCAGGCAACGAATTTCGAGCCAAAAATGTTTGGTTTAATTGGTTTTGCGTTTGCCATTGAATGCTTTATATGCCACATGTGTCTCTACGAGAGCCCCCAAAGGGTGATATGCCGCCTCCTGCCACGCCAGTGTTGCTATTCGCATCCGAGCTGGCTAAATGGTTTGTTGCTTCCTGCCAGCCAGCTGCTTGCTTTAGCTATCATTGAGAGATTAGTGAGGCAATCGATTCCATTCAGTTTACTTTTTGGTTTTCTTTTTTCTCTCTCTTAAATTTGTACAGCTCTCAGCAAGCGCAGCTCGTAGCCGAATTGAGGTTTATATTTTTTAAAACTTGTTCAGTTGAACAACAAAAGCTTACACTATCAAAAAACAAACCCACACACCTTGTTAACTAATATTTTTATATTCGTTTAACGTTGATTTCTTTATAGGTGATTCCCATTGACTTGCTCAAGAATTCTTAAAAATTTCACAGTAGAGACACAGAGAGGAATCCCATATATAAATTGAGAAAGCGATAGGCAGTGTGAGAGATAGGGCGGGAGAGAGTGTGTGAAGAAGAGAGACTACAGAGTAGACACTAGAGACTAGAGATGAAGACAACTTCGCTGATGCTGCGCCTGCGCAGCATTTGGATCATGTCCAGCTGGCTGCGTCACGAAGGACTCGCCGCGGCGGCAATGGTCGTGCGTCGTCGGGAGAAGAATCTGCAGCGTCTCGAATACGAGCAGAAGTTGGAATCGGATGTGGGTCAAGTGGGAGTCGATTCACGGGGCCAGCTGCGCCGCGTTCGCGTCATGGACGACTATATCATACCAGCCGAATGCGGACTCTAGATGAGCACAATGAAAACCGGCGAAGCAAATTGCAAATCCAAATTTTCGTCCGAGCATAATAGAGATCGTTAATGGGATACCTAAATTACAAAATATAGAAATAATAAATATGTCGTGAATATAATTCGATTGATTTGATTGTCTTGATTTAGGTCTTGCGATTCTCTTAGAGGTCTAGGACTATAGCTATTCCCTGCTTTGTTTGGATCTTGCAGGTCTCTCGCGAGAGGCGTGGCTTGAACGATGTGCCCCTGGGCGGCAGCAAGCCCTTTGACGAGAAGCAGGCCGAGGAGCAGCTCCAGCAGACCCTTGACAAGCTAACCGCTGGCGACGGACCGCACTACAAGTAAATAGCTATAAACCCCTTTCATTTTGTCATAGACAGTCCTTAAGAAGAGATCCCTTCCTCAACAGGATTGTAAAGGTCTATACGGCGTCGCGTCAGCTGATCTCTGGCACGCTGACTCGCATCGATGCGGATCTGATTGATGGCAATGATGAGCAGCGTCGCTGCATCGTTGAGATCTGGGCACAGCCGTGGCTGGAGCAGGGCCATAAGATAACGTTCAAGTGCCACAACCAGCCGGCGGTGCATGCCCGGCATAGTCGCTCCGTGGAATGGGCCGAGAAGAAGACGCACAAGAAGCACAATCACCACTCGCTCAACAAGGTGGATCATTTGTTCCACGTGTTCCAGATCAAATATAAGCGCCGCTACGCCAACAGCATGGAGCACCAGATGCGTCTGCGCATCTTCCGCCAGAATCTGAGAACCATCCAGGAGCTGAACGACAATGAGCAGGGCAGTGCCAAGTATGGCATCACGGAGTTCGCCGACATGACCAGCTCGGAGTACACACAGCGCGCGGGCCTGTGGCAGCGCAGCGCGAATAAGCCAACGGGCGGAAAGCCTGCCGTGGTGCCTGCCTATAAAGGTGAACTGCCCAAGGAATTCGACTGGAGGGAAAAGAATGCCGTGACGCAAGTCAAGAACCAAGGCTCGTGCGGCTCCTGCTGGGCATTCAGCGTGACCGGCAACATCGAGGGCTTGTATGCCATTAAGACGGGTGAACTGCGGGAGTTCTCCGAGCAGGAGCTGCTCGACTGTGACTCCACAGACAGCGCCTGCAATGGCGGCCTAATGGACAACGCCTACAAGTGAGTAATCGCTGCTGAGTAATGCAAATATAAACGGAACTAATTGGTAATCCCCCAAAATAGAGCCATCAAGGACATTGGCGGGCTGGAGTACGAGTCCGAGTATCCCTATCTGGCCAAGAAGAAGCAGTGCCACTTCAACAAGACGCTGTCCCACGTCCAAGTCGCTGACTTTGTCGATCTGCCCAAGGGCAACGAGACAGCCATGCAGGAGTGGCTCCTGGCCAATGGACCCATATCAATTGGTGCGTAATTACTTAATTACATCGGATTCGATTGATTTATATACTCTCTTAACTCTCTGTTTCTGTCAGGCCTCAATGCCAATGCCATGCAGTTCTATCGTGGCGGCGTCTCTCATCCCTGGGGCCCGCTCTGCAGCAAAAAGAATCTCGATCATGGCGTTTTGATTGTGGGCTACGGCGTCTCCGACTATCCCAACTTCCACAAGACGCTGCCCTATTGGATCGTTAAGAACTCGTGGGGCCCTCGCTGGGGCGAGCAGGGCTACTATCGCGTCTATCGTGGCGACAACACTTGCGGCGTCAGCGAGATGGCCACCTCGGCGGTGCTCGCCTAAGCTTGCCCAGCTATATATCACTCTATGCAAATATATAAATATTAATATAAATACAGCCTATGCTCATGCTTGAGCTACAGCACAAGATTCGTTTGGCTTGCAGTTTGCATTTTACGTTCCGAGGACACGCAACAGTTTATCATTTCGCTACATAATCGCCCAATCACTTGTAATCCAATTGTAATCCATGAGCAACCATCATATACAATGTTCTTCAACAGCGCAGCATATATTGAAATAAACTTAAATTACGTATTGTAAAGAAAAAGAGAGCAGAGTCAATTTAATCGGGGAGTTGAAGAGGGAGATTTACGGGGAGATAATCTACATTTTGATATCAACTCGAAGAGCAGTCGGAGAAGCTACTCAATAATTTTCATATTCGCTCAGCTTGATCAGCAGGAGTCTCAGTTTTCGAGCCTCTAGTCCAATGGTCAGCGGCTCGCTGGGTGCCTGCTCTGTGGCCGTATAGATATTGGCGGGCGTGAACAAGCCGTAAGCCTCGCAGGACTTGAGGAAGTTCAGCACTTCCTGCACGGCTGCGTAGGGCAGGATGATGTTCTGCTTGGCCATGCCGGTCAGCAGGCCGAGAATGCAGCGCTTCACGTGCAGCCAGGTGTCCGCGTAGAGGCGTGCGCCCGAGCCGCCCTCCAAGGCGTGGGCGATGCGCGAGAGCCCGAACTCGTAGTTGGACTTGGCGCAGTACAGCGTGCCCACGACCAGGTTGACGATGCACAGGTGATGATACTGCTTGCCCTGGTTGCCCTTCAGCTCCTCGGCGGTCTCCACCTTGCGCATCAGCTCCTCGGCCTCCTCATTCTGGAACGTCATGATGTAGGACACACAGAGATTGGCCAGCACCGCAGCGGAGACGGACATAATCTGCAAGAAGGGAGTGAGACTAGAGAGAATTGAGTGAGGGAAGGAAATGATGATAGCTTACATCATCCGAGTGCTGGCGCACTATGGGCTCGTAGAAGGCGGCCGCCTCCTTGTACTTGTCCTGCATGAAGAGCACATGGCCAGCATTCAAGCGCCACACCGAGCAGATGGCATTCTCCGAGCAGAACTCGGCGCTGGAGCGAAACTCGCGCTCGGCGCCCAGGAAGTCGTCTTCGCGCCAGGAGATCCAGGCACGAGCCATGACTACCGGCAAGTAGCTATAGCAACAAAGGAAATCATGAATGCTTGGGAGTCAAACGTCAGGTTGTGGCACCTACAGTTCCAGCGCCTGCTCGTAGTCCTTGAGTGCATCGCGCAGCGCCTGCTGCTCACTGGTTGCTCTGACCTCCTGCACCCGGGCGGCCAGGCTGCGCAGCTTGCCCGACAAGCTGGAGGCGAGCGTGCCCAGCTTCTTCTCGGCCAGCTCCCCGCTGGTCTGGGCCGTGATTAGCGCGTCCAGCAGCTCGTACAGATACTGCGACAGGTACTTGTAGGTGAGGTCCGCGTGCTCGGCCAGAATGTCGGCGGCGGTGTCGTAGAGCTCGTGCTTACAGCAAATCAACAAGATGTTGGCGAACGTCTCCTTCGGGCAGGCAGGGGCGCCCAGCTGCAGCAGGAAGGCCAATTTGCGCAGACCCGCAACGGGACCCTGGGCATCGGTCAGTGCCATGTTGTGCAGCGTAACCGGATCCAGTTCGCTCTCTGCGCGCGGCGGCAGATCGAGCAGCGCTTCCCGTGCCGCCTCCACATTGCCATCCTGATACTCCAAGGCGGCCTTCAGGTTGAGCGCCTGGGTGATGCCCGACACGGCCATAGTAATGGGATTGCCCACGCTGCGCGCACTGCCATCGGTGTCCACCTGGGCGCCAATGCCCAGCTCCGGATGGTTCCGCATGCCGCGCTCCACAATCTCCGACGTGTAGTCCAGCGCCTGGGCGCGTTGCTTCCGCTGAAAGTGGGCGAGGGCCACGTTGTAGGCCACCAAAGGATTGAAGCCGCCCACCTGCAGTGCCGATTGGAAACGCTGCACCGCCAGCTCGTGCTCATCCGCCTGATAGAGCAGGCAGCCCTCGTCGTTGAGCGTTTCGGCTGTGCCGCCAGCGCGCTGATTGAGCAGACTCTGAGCGCCGGCATAGTCCTCGCTAGAGTAGAGTATGGCGCTCTGCAGCTGCAGGCACTGCTCACGGAGCTCCAGCTCCTTGTCGCCGATCTGCTTCAGCACGCGCAAGGCGTCCGCAAAGATGCCCGCCTGGTAGAGCGACTGGGCGTAGTAGAATCTAGGCAGGAGTTGTCCAGACACACATACATACATATTTATATAAATGGTGATTTATCTGCTCACCTGTACTTGGCCTCCTTCGGCACCAGCTGGCAGAGCTGCTCGTAGCAGCTGGCCGCCTCCTCGTACTTCTGTGCATGGTAGTAGCAATGGCCCAGCGTGGAGAGTCCTGCCCGCGTATTGGCCGCCTCGCCGCAGTTCGCGATGCATTCGATCACATCCTCATAGCGTTTATCCTTGATCTAAGCGAAAGACAATCGAATGATGAGCTGCCTCTCTTTCTGGCCTACAGTGAAGACTCACCAGAGTGTAGATGGTGCGCGTGACGTGTCCCTCGCGCAAGATTATGCCCTGATGCAGCATTTTCTGAGCTCTGCGAAAATTTCTAGCCGGGATTTGTTGTGGCGCCGCCCGAGGTAGCCATGGCTACGCCCAATGCCAGCCAAGTGCCTGTCCGCCTCAGCCTTGGCAACGCCAGCCAAGCAGCTTGACAACAGTTGGTTGAAGTCGTGAATGAAATGCGGCAAATTTAAAAGATGCCAAAATAAATGCAAATCCGCTTTGCACTTAATCTGTTGTAGTTTATGAGAGGAGGACTACGATGGCCATGAAAGTATATATTCTTCTTGACATTAATTTAGATGGGTTTCTTATTATATTCTAGAAAATTAAAATGGAATGTAATATTGTTATTTTCAGAGAGCCTTTTCTTTATATACCCTGTAAAAAATACAACTTACAATTTCATTTAGGTGATGTTCTTAATAGAAAAAATAAATAAATAAGAAGTTATTAATATTTATATTTACATATTTACATAGAACATTTTCCATATACCCTGTGTTCTAGAAAAATATAAATGACAATTCATCAATATTCATATTTATAGAGAGCATTTTCCATATATAAACCCTGTAAACTATGTAATCTACAATTTAATTTATATGATTTTCTCATTATATTTTTTATTAAATATTTATTTTTTAATAAGCGAGAAAATATTGACAACCAAATTTTCAAGATTTTTTCGATTTTCGAAAACAACCTGTAAAATAAGTAATGTACAAACTAATTTAGAATACTTTCTTAACAAACCAACCAACAGTGACAAATATGTTTATGGTATATCCTTAAAAAATATAATGAAGGAAGCAAAGCACTTATAAAAAGTTGGCTTCGTACAAAAAATAGTGCCACACTATTCAAAACATAAATCTTTTGAAAAAATTCTAAGATCCCTCTTTTTGTATAAAATCGAATTATGTAATGTAACAAAATCCAAATCTTTTAGACAGAGATCTTTTTGATATCCTATATACATCGATTTGCATAACATAATGAAAAATTTAAGATAAAAAAAATTATCAATAAAAATAATCAATTGTTCTTCAGATTGAAAAGTATATTTCAAAATCCGATGTCTATAGTAATCAACACATTTTAAAATTTGAAGTATATTTATTGTAATAAATAAACTTAAAATTTTGAATTATATGCATTTACGCTGAGCTGAAAATCGTTACTATATTTTATTGATTTGTCTTAATATTTTCAAATCAATATGTTCTCTTTTGCATTAACATTAAAATATTAAACATTTAATAAGAGGACCATCTATTATATATCAAATACCGTATTCACGGAGTAGAGTTAAGGATAGCTGCATATAGAGTTCTTTGAAAATATTCTTCTGTCGAACATTTTCACATGCCTCGCACAGTTTTCCCACATTCCAACCACTGTGCCGTTGGCTCAATATGCTAATTAGATTTGAGCCGGGGCCGCTGCATTGAAGCCACAGAAAGCGCGCCTCATTTGCGGAGGCGCCACGGTTAGTGCAAGCTCAGTAGCTGCTTGCAACGCATCGTGTGGCAAAGCAATGGCCATGGACGACTATGATGATGACAGTAAGTGGACTAAAGCTTCAAAATTGGTTCATTCATCAGGATTATAGCGCAACCCCTTACAGTGAGCAGTGTGGGCGTAACCACAGCACGCATYGAGAACCAACAGCAGCAGCAGCAGCACTATCATCAACAGGGTCAGAATCAGAGCAGTGGAGGGCCTGTCAAGGTGGGGGGCTGGCGCTACGAGGACGCCAGTCGGTATATAGGCGAGTGGAACCAACGTGGCCAGAAGCATGGCATAGGCCATCTGCAGTTCGCGGACGGCACGCGCTACGACGGACAGTTTCAGGAGGGCCTCAGCCAGGGCTTGGGCTGCCTTTGGTTTCCCGACGGCGCCAAGTGAGTATTCCGAGTAGGCAGCCCAATTCCGACTCTACTCAATTGCGATTGCATGGCACAGATACGAAGGGGAGTTCCACCAGGGCTGGTTTCATGGCAACGGCATATTCTGGCGCGCGGATGGCATGAAGTACGAGGGCGAGTTCCGAGGCGGCAAGATCTGGGGCTGGGGCCTGCTCACCTTTCAGGACTTTACGCACGGATTTCCGCGCAACGAGGGCTTCTTCCAGGACTGCCGCTTCATGCGGAAGCGTCGCTGCCCCGACGTTGTGCAGCGCGCACAGAAATGTGCGCTAATGGCCCGATCGCAGTGTGAACACCCCTACTAAACGGCAACAATAAATAACACAGTTAGACACATAATATTTAACAATTGTGCGTGTTTGAGTTTCGTTGTCAATTGAATCAAAATGCTAACAACAATTTGCTTATCTTCGTATCGCTAATCCCCGCTGGGTGCGCCCACCAAATACCAAGCGTTGCGTGCCTTGACAGCCGAATTACGCACCAAACGCTTGGGGTCGTCCAGAGCGGCAGCCAGGGCCAGAGTCACGTCCACCTTGTGGGGCAGCAGCACATAAGTCGGATACTTGGTTATGTCATAGAGCAGCTGCAGCGCTGCGATGCGCACTTGCTGCAATATGGAGAGAAACATAAATTAGTAACTCGAGTATTTTAGACCATGTTAGAGAACAAACCATGTTTGGTTGAGTCTTTTGCTTGGACAGCTCTAGGCAGCTGGGTATTATGTGTCCGAGATGTGCCTGGAAATACGCATCCTGCTGCTTCACAAAGTTATTGCATATGTTCAGTGCTATGCAAAGGAACTGCCCATCGCTTTGCGCGTCTAAAGTCTTGAAGAGCAGCGGACCCAGCTGCTTGATGTTTAGCCTAATCACCGAGTGGGGCGTAGCCTTTAGGACATAGATGAACGCCTTCATGTGGTGTTCACAGTAGTTGGAGAGGTTGCTGCCCAGCTTGTTCATGATGGTGTGGAAGAACTTTTGCTTGTACAAGAATTTCACAACTGGCAAATCCAATTCCGGAAACTCGGCAGCAATAACGTCAAAGGCCAAGGCAGCGGCGGTGCACAATGTGGGATGCTCCAGCAGATCAGTCAGCTGGCAATATAAAGGAAATGGCAAATGAAATTAGTTGAATCAAGTTATTATCGTCAATTTATACTCACATCGGTTATAATTTCGGCAGCCTCCTCGAAGCCGGCCACCACTAAACCCTTGGCCAGCCAGGCCAGCAAGTGAACGGCTCGCTGGTCACCTGATTTGATGGCTTCTTTTAGCTGGTGTATGATGCGTTTCAGTTGGCTGCGATTCTCCTTAGTGTTGTCCATTTTGTTCACCAGGCTGCAGAGCAAATGATGCGCAATGGTGCGCAGCTGTTCGTTGTCAGAACTCAGCGACAGCTTGGTGAGATCGTCCAGCAGACGCTCGAAGTGATCATCGAGAGAAATGTCCTTGTGCAGATAGCCTAGCAGACCCTTAGCCACGTACAGATGTGCCGCCGCCTGCAGATCCAGCGTCGGCAGATACTCGCTGACAATCGCACTCTGCTCGGAGAGGGGCAGCTGCTGCATGATGCGACTCAATGCGGCGGCGATCAGCTCCAGCGATGCCAGCGGCAAGGCGGGAGTATTACGTGCCAATTCAATAAGCTGGTGCAACAGATTTGATTGCTGCTGCAACTCCACTATGAAGCGTTGTTCCTCCTGGTTGAGCAGCGTTGAGAGCGCTTCCAAGGCCAAAAGGCGTCCCGGTTCGGCGACAGTAGGCGTGAATACCTCCTTCATGACCAGATCGAGAATGCGCTGCGTAAACGCGATCTGAGGCAGCAGTGGCAGCAGATTCGAAAAGATTTTACGTTTGATGAACTCCGAGAATATGTCAAAGTTTCGAATGCATGGGTCTATAAAGGACGACTGCAGCTCCACGGGATGCAGCGCGCCCAGGTTGACAGTCAACAGCTTAAAGTCCAGATCGATGTACGGATGACTAATTAGCTGCACGAGTGCCTTGTAGACCAGCGCACGCTGCGCCTCGCTCAGCACGGGCACACATTCGCAGAGCACTGACAGAGCTGCCGTTTGCAGCTCCAAGTCCTCCTGCTTGGCATCGAAATCGTCGCGCTCGCACAGACGCAGCGCCGCGATGACATCGTCCTGCAACGGCAGCAGTATGGCCTTGTCCAGCTTAGTCAGCGAGTCCCGCAGTGCGGCCAGCTTATACACCTGGCTGATGATGTGATAGAACTTGATGCGCTCCTCGCTCTTCTTCTGTCCCAGCTCAGTTGTCTGCAGCTTAAGCAGAAAAGTGTTCAGAATTTTGTCGCCAGCATAGGGCGCATCGCCCGAGACGCACATCAGAGCTATTGCAGTAGCCGGATGAAAGAGGCGATGATGGACATCGCTCAAGTGGGGCAACACCACGCCCAGCACATTGCTCTGATAGTTGTGGCTGATGCTCGGCACCTTGGCGGCGCTCTTCAGCAACTCGGCAAGCGCTTTGAGAGCGCATCTCAGCACATCGGCATTGTCAGAGCCAGGAAAGGTTTCCGCCTTCAATGCCTGCCAGATTTGCGCGAAATAAGGCTCCAGTGCAGCTGGCGAGAACTTGAGCGCCGCTTGATGCTGCCACAAAAGGAAATTAATATAGCCATACAGTTATTTTTAGCCACCATTTGCTTACCAGCAACTCAATGGAATCCAATTTGGCCACAACTAGCTCGCTGTCCAGCTTCTCCACGGCCAACGACACGGTCCATTCGGCAAACTGTTCGCTCGCCACCAAGCAGTGGGTTAACTTCTCGGCGAGAGCATCGCGTGTTATGGCCTCGGGATCCTCCTTGCTCGGGTTAAAGTCGATGGGGAAATAGCAGGCAAAGATTTCAAACATCTCCTCGGCCAAATGCAATAGTGGATATTGTGATATAAACTCGGGCATAAAACTAAAAATAATATCCAGATTGCGTGGATCACGTTCTCCATCAATCGAATTGATCAGACCAAACAAAAAGTCGCCAGACATCTTAACAAGTTCTGGGTAGGTAAAAGAAATAAATTACTGTAAACCAAAAAATAATATGTAATAAAAGCGCACCTGGCTGGTAATGCACTGTGAGGTACTTAAACATGTTGAATATCTTGGTGCGGTCGCCGCGCGTCTGCGACTGACAGGTCGTATATTGGAAGAACGCTTGCAACAGGAGCGGCACACTTTCAGCTGGCAGCTGCTTCATGTGCACCAAGGCATTCAGGCCCACAATTATGGCGGGCATGACATTGTGATGATCGCGTAGGCGATCCGTGTAGAAGGTCGTTAGAAATTCCAACTGCTTGGAGTTCAGGACATCGCCGGGCAGAGCATCGAGTACAGCGGACAACAGATTTGTGCCGGCAACGCGTTCCTCGGTGTCCGAAGAGGTCAACGCAAACCCCAACTGTTCGGCCAGGTCGGCAATGGTGTAGGTGCCGCCAGCAAGTTCTGGTATAATAAATAAATTTAATTAAAATGGGTTGCAGGTGGTTTTCGAAGTGTGCTTACCATTAGCAATTTGTGTTGCTGCTGCTTGAAGCTTGGCATCGCTTTTCAGAGCCTTCTCTAGAGTTTCACGAGTGGGCGTTGTCATGCTTCAACCGGCGCTAACGTAAGCGCTAAATTTAAAACACAAATACCTCTCTTAAGCAGTCTTAAACCGAAAATAAATAAGACTACAAATGGTGTGTTTCCTTCTTTTGTTATCTATGGGGGGCGCAGACACGGTCAAGCTGTAGGTCATTCATCTATAGTGATGCGTGATATATTGAGTTTGTTAATTTAACTATCTTGCTGTTTCTTTAAGTATCCATATAAACGTCTCTTTCTTTAATTATTTTTTTTTTAAATTAACAAACACGAACTTTAGTTCCGACATGCAACAAATTATCGTCATGCATTCGAGTCGTGCTTTTTTTTTTAAATGTTTCTGTTAGAGCTGGAACTTATCGTACTGCATATAGTGGCACTTTGTATATATCGATCTGTTGCAACAATCAACGATAGTGGCTGTTGGTTTGAATGGTAAGAACATAAGATAATTTCTTATTGTTTCTATTGTATTCTTTCAAAGTTAATTTTTGAAAATTTACAATTTTATTTATCAAAAGTTAGAATTTATTGTGTATAAATCATTAAATGCTTTGCCAACTGGATAGTAACAAAGTTGCCACAGCGTTGAAAACGAACGATAATTAAAACAATAACTTGCAAGTCTATTTAATATAATTTTGAATAATTGATGAAATGCTATAATTTCAATAAAAACTGTTAATGTTCGAATACTTTAAAGTTAATAAATTTCATGCATCTAGTGTTTAGTGTTTGAGAATGTGATATCCAAATAAATATCGGCATATCGGGGATCATTCGATACTTAAAGCCATCACTGTCATTGCGTTAGTATTAAGCAACAACAATTGCCGCAGAAGTCGCAGCACCCGTTTATTTTAGCTAATGCATTGCCTTTAAATTTAAACAAAAATAGTTTTTTAATCAGTTTAAGCTCTTAACGCCGTGTAACAAAGCCAGTGTACTAATGTCCATAACCGTAAGTAAGCTGGCTAACGAGAACATTGAATAAAAACTGTACGAGTTTGTCTACGCTTACGCCCCCACGTAGCGCATACGAGATTTAAATTCTTAAAAAATGCAAGTGAAAATGCATACAGAATTACAAGTAACTAATTAACGTAATTCCTTATAAAAAATGTATTTTATGTGCATTTAAGCCCACAACAGCAAACGGCTGTTCATCTGCATATAAGTGTTTTTGTTTGTGTATGTGTGTGTGTGTGTTTGACGAAACTTAAACGCCGCGGAAATTTGAGCTCTGTTTTTTCTTTGCTCATTCTTGTCTATGTGTGTGTGCTTGTATGAGAGTGCGCGCGTGTGTTAGTTTTTTTTTTTTTTTTTTGCAACTTTTTAACGTCGCTGACTTGAAAGAATTATTTAAAAGCCTCGACAACGACGATTCAACAAGGTCAAGCGCCTTATTTGTCAACGGCAAGGTTCATAATTTTTTTATAACATTTCGCCAAACGGATTCCGATTCAGCTTTTGAGCTAACAGCTCGGAAATGGGAGCGCGGCGCAGTTGCACGTCCATGGTTTAAATTTGGTGACAAAAACCAACAACAACAGCAACAGCAGCAGGAACAGTGGCAACGGGTCGAACAATTGTGCTTATAATTAGCGCAGCACTTGTCGCCAGTTCGTGTACATATGTATAAATATATGTGTGTATGTGTACTAGTACAATTTGTAGTTGTCTTCGGTCGTTGCCATTGCTATCTTCTTTTATTATTTTCGGTTATTTTGAGAGGCCAATACTTACTTTCCATTTTTACCTGCAAGTGTGTGTGCGTGTCAGATTGTCTCTGCCTATGTGTGGCGTGTGTTTGTGTATGTTTTTGTTTGTGTGAGTGAGTGAGTGACAAAGCCGCTGCGTTGCTTCCGTTCTATTGTCTGAGAGCAAATACGAAGACAGTTGAAGCGATGAGAGAGCGAGAAAGACAGAGGGAGAGAGCGAGAAGCTTACGCACTTAAGCAGCAGCAACAACAATGCTCATGTCTTTAATTGGGACTAATCTTTGTTTCGTTTTTGGTTACAACGACAACAACCTGTTCTGATTTTTTTTTATATTTTTATTTTATTTTTTTGAACAGTTACTGCGAGGTGGCAAGCAAAAGACAACCACTTGCGTAGGAATGACCGTAATGGCCAAAACTACAATTGAAGAAATATGCGAGAATGCCAAATTAGCCAGAGACATGGCCCTGACAGGCAACTACGACTCGGCCTGCATATACTACGAGGGGTTACAGGTAAGACAGATCACAACCAAGAACAACAAATACCCTAGCAGACTACAGATCGGATTGATATGAAAACTATTGGCGCGATACATAATATATTACGTCGAATGTTTACAGCTTGTTAAGTATTAGGTCATTTAAACAGATACAAATCACTATTTCTGATTGATTGATTCTATGAGAGAATTATCGTCGAAATGTGGTTTTTATATTCGAGTCGGTGTTCAGCAGTTTCATTACACAACAGTTATAGTTATGCATAACCCATATCTCATATCATATGTTAAGGTTCATCAATATAGCTTAAAGGTTGACACCCAGCGGACAGCTGTTCATACTGATTAGAAACATATCATAAACCCTACAAGTCTTGCGTTCTGCTAGGGTATACAAAACTGTTGCATATAGATTAAAATCTATTTTTAATTGTAGGGCATGCTGGCGCGCCTGCTAAAGAGTACCGTGGATCCCATGCGCAAGGGCAAGTGGAACATGGTGAGTGTGTGCTGCTTAGCTATTTTATCTGTATAAATTAGATTATATCATGTATCTACATTGCAGATTAATCAGCAAATCAATCAGGAACATGCTAAAGTTAAGGCCATACAACGCACACTGCAGGACATTTCGTTAGATTTGCAAAATACTAAATTTGCCCATAAGCTGCGTGCACAGTTTAGTGACGACGGCAATGTGAACAAAGATCCCGCTGCCTGGTTTAAACCCGATCCGGACATATGGACGCCGCCTCCGAAAGATCCCGATGTCTGGGGACCACCGAAGCCACCGCCGCCCGTCCAGCAGGTGGGTCGGCGTGCCACAACCACAAATAGCCGTCGAACGGCAGGCGGCGCACCGACCAGCGGCCGACCCAGCACAATCCCACAGAGCACTGCCCGCAACGGTCCAGGCACAGCGCGCAACAGTCGAGGATCGGCCTCCACATCGAACAGTGCACGCGGCGGCGCCAATGGCCGTGTGGCCGGTCGCAAATTGTCCACCTCCAATAGCATCAGCAACAACAACAATAATAATAATAACAATGATGGCAAAGATGATGACGCGACAGCGGCTGTCAGCAATGGCTCCACAGCGGATGGCGATGGGAGCGAACAGCAGGCGACAGAAGAGGAGCGGAAGTTTCAGCCCAACAATCACATCGAAGCCGAGCTGGTGGACATATTGGGTGAGTTTAGCGAAAGGCGAACATTCATGCCCAGTTCATATGTAAATGACGACACACTTATCATCAACAGAGCGTGATATACTACAAAAGGATCCGAAGGTGCGGTGGAGCGATATAGCCGATCTGCACGATGCCAAGCGCTTGCTGGAGGAGGCTGTTGTGCTGCCCATGCTGATGCCAGACTACTTCAAGGTGCGTCATCAAGTCACCTGCATAGGCTGAATCATTAGCTGTTATATTTGCCATATGCCCTGTAATAATCAAAAGTGTGTAAACAAAAGGTAGTCACACTCCTCGATATCTTTATAAAAGATAGGAGTGGAGACAAGGGTAAAAGTGGATGAGCAATAGGCTAAGTAAAGAGCGTATACAGCAAGATTATGCTATTTGAATGCTTAACTGTTTTGATATATACTACAAAGGCATATAAATATTCCCTATAGCTGTTAACAGGGTATCGCATAGTCTGTCAGTCTCATATAGAGCATTTCCTTTTGTTTAATAACAAGCTTTTTAATGTTCCTGATAGCAGCATTTAAAATATCGTCTGATAAGTTAAGGCTCTCAACATTTGTCAAGTTTTTGTTGTTGTGATTTTCGTATATTTTGCAGCTACAAATTTCGATTTATACCACTGTGCACTGCTTATCAATTAACGCGTTTAATGTATTTTCCAGGGCATACGACGTCCGTGGAAAGGCGTCCTAATGGTTGGCCCACCTGGCACAGGTAAAACGATGCTAGCCAAGGCTGTGGCCACCGAATGTGGCACCACCTTCTTCAATGTCAGCTCCGCTACGCTCACATCTAAATATCGTGGTGAATCGGAGAAGATGGTGCGTCTGCTCTTCGAGATGGCGCGCTTCTATGCGCCGAGCACAATTTTCATTGATGAGATTGATTCGCTGTGCTCGCGACGTGGCTCCGAGTCGGAGCACGAGGCATCGCGACGCGTCAAATCGGAGCTGCTGGTGCAAATGGATGGCGTGGGCGGCGGCGAGGAGCAGGCCAAAGTTGTCATGGTGCTGGCAGCCACCAACTTTCCATGGGACATCGATGAGGCGTTGCGCAGGCGTCTGGAGAAACGCATCTATATACCACTGCCCACGGATGAGGGACGTGAGGCGTTGCTCAAGATTAATTTGCGCGAAGTGAAGGTGGACGATAGCGTCGATCTGAACTATGTGGCCAATCAGCTGGAAGGCTACTCCGGCGCTGATATCACCAATGTGTGCAGGTGCGTGTAGAATCACATCCTATGTATTGTTCATTGATTTTAATTGAAATTCGGCATGTTTTAGGGAGGCCAGCATGATGTCGATGCGACGCAAGATCGCCGGCCTAACGCCGGAACAAATACGACAGCTGGCCACCGAGGAGGTGGATCTGCCCGTGTCCAATAAGGACTTCAACGAAGCCATCAGTCGTTGCAACAAGAGCGTGTCCCGTGCAGATCTGGACAAGTACGAGAAATGGATGAGGGAATTCGGTTCGTCATGATGGCGTTACACTCAACACACAATTTCCATCGATTCTAGGCATCTATTTATATATATACAACTATTTTTTGATAACAATAACARCAACAACAACCACATCCACACACGGATAGTTTTAGTGAGAAACCTTTTAAAGTGTTAAACCGGCCGCAGAGATAATGTTGAACATATTTTATATATAACATTTTGAATATGTATATGTGTATATATGATATATGCATATAAGAACGAAGCGTTGGAATTCAAAAGACTAACAGTAAATTAGAGAGGGAGAGCTAAAGATAGCAGCAAAACAATTAAAAAGCAAAGCAATCATATATATATAA